AGCCCTCAGGGCCTCCAGCAAGTGTTTTGGTGCCACTCTCCGAGCCCCGCGCCGTATGCGCGGCAGACAAGCCCGACACCACCGCCGCAGGCACGCCGATGCCCTGCAATGGCAGTCGCTCCTTTGCTCTTCGAACACATTGCTTGGGCCAAGGAATCATGGGGGGTTCCGAGGCAGCCGTAAATGTGGGACATTGTCAACTTGCGACTTTGGTGTTCCTGGCAAGGATTCCACTGCGTTGCTGGGGTAGTGCGCTTTCAATCCAGCCTAGTATTCAATTGGCAGACGCCTCTGTTCTAAGAACCTTTGGCCCATGGGTTGGGTTGTCCATCCTGAACACAAATTTGGAATTGTGCAGCCCGGAAGACCTCTTCTTCCGCTCTCAAATATTCTCTTCCCTTTCCCCGTCCGGGCTTCCCGCCGTCCAGCCCACTTACCCGCACTGCCATGCCTCCTCCGCATCCCCCCGGCCCTTGAGGCAGGCGCTGGGAAGGTGGAGTCCCCGCACAGCAGCAGCCGGTCCACGCCGCCCTCCCGGAGATCGCCCGGCCTAACGTGGCGTTGCGATCTCTGAGAAGCGCCGAAAACATGGCAGGCATCATAACGTTGGCACCGGTACAGAAGGATCCACTATCCATTTCCCACATGTAGAGGCACATGTACATGTTTGTGTGTGTGTGTGTGTCTGTGATGATGAATTTGCCTATTCTGTGGCCGGTAACAGGAAACTGGTCATGATTCCCTGGCAACCACTGGCAGGCAACCTCTGATCCACCAGAGGCTCCGTGTTTCAACGAGTGATCTGCACGGACTGTACGTGGCCTGCAGACCTTCCCCTAAACCACTTCTGCTGGATTCTGGTGCTTGCGGCGACCTTCAGCCAAACGAAGACTGCGGCGAGTTGCCGCAATGCTACACGGACTTCAGAACCCTTTCCAATGACGCTTGCGGAGGTTCCTTGTGGATGGTCAGGGGGAGGGTGTTCCGAGACCGCAGTCCCATGCTGGTCGCTCACCACCACCACCACCACCACCACCACCAGCAGGTGCATTGCTTGAATTGAACTGCTCGAGTTTCCCAGTTCGGTTTGTATCAAAACTTGGGCCGCTCCGTTTTCGCTAACGGCAACGATGCCAATAAAAAGACGGAGGGTCCAGGTGGCCCACTCAGCCGGCACTCGGGCCCGCGCAAGGCATCCCCCGCCGTCCGAAAGGGGACCTGGCCAACATGACACGCTGTTTCCGAATGGGTAAAGCTCCTCTTGTGGATGGCCGGATGGCCGTTTAAAGCGAAGCCAACAAAAACCACACAAACACCCTAGTTGTTTGGAAACACCCCGCAAACTATGTTGAACATGCGGTCAGGAAGACTTGGATACGGCCTGCACTTTGATTTTCAGTGCCGATGAGGCGCCTTGTCCCATCCTTGCGCCCGCCAACAGATCTATGACAGGGCATGTCCAAGGCCAAAGATGCAAGTTATCACCTTGAGCACCAACATCAAACCTTGGTTGAGCGCTCCAAAAGAGAAAAGGAACACTGAGGGAGCCCAAGATCAAAAGCGCGCGCCTTGCCGGGCCCGAAGCGCCCGAAAACCGGCGCTGGGCCGTAGGTGCCCGCCTGGACACGGGTGTTTCTCTAGATGGGGCAACGACCCATTGTAAAAAGCCGGTTGACTTTGGCAAAGCGGTGCTCTCCAATACGGCATGCACACAAAAAGGCCGGTACGCCAAAGCAGGCCTACTTGCGAAATGAGCCTCATGTGGACGCCCGAGTCGGAAAAAAACGAATCGACAGGCAGGGAATCCAGGATTCCGAAACCTCGTCCAGCCACAAGCAAAAGGGCGTCATGGAAGAATCATTCACGCTGTCGCTACCCACAGACTGTCCCTTGCGTTTCTCGTGGGAAAAATGTTTGGCTGAAAGCAAATGGTTGACAAGTGCCAGTGGTCAGGAGCAGAACAATAATCCATGTGCGCTGAAGATATCCAGCAGCTTGCATATAACAAGACTCTTTTTATATAAGTTCATGTGGGCCAAGGGCTAAACATGTCGTTACCGTCAATCACATTCGAAAATAATCAAGTCCTCTGTGCGTTTGACGGTGAATTTGGCGAGTCCGCCCATGTCCGTCCATGTCCGTCCCAGATGGATCATACACTACTGGATAGGATCTGGACCGAACCTCGTGCAGAAGCACTGTTTTCATGTGCCACATCGAGGCCGGCAATCCTAGCATGCTGGCGAAAGCACAACTGACCGGGTTCCCTGGTATATCCCTTTTGGTGGTGTCAAGCATCACCTGTTGAACCTCAGAATGGAGTGAGTTTCAGGGTGATTGAGGAGGTGTTGGGAACCCAAACGACCAACTGAAAACAGCACAAGATCACCTGGCGCCCAGGCGGTGCGACGCAGGAAGCGCCGGTGCGTCAGCGGGCTGCCGACGAGCTGAACCTATTGGGCCGACCAAATGGGAAACCAAGACGTACCCGGATTCTCCT